AACCCCAGGGCAAGGGCCCCGTTCGCTCCCCCTACGCAGACGGAGCACCCACCGTTCTCTCCTCCCCCCTTCGCACAGCGGTCGTGTGCGCGCAGCCCCAGCTGCCACGGCAGAGTCAGCCTCGTCTGGGTCAGCGCCCCGGGGCGGGACTGCCGAGCCACCACCCGCTGCTGCAGCCAAGTGAACCCTGCAAACAGCCGGGCACACGGGGCTCTGCCACGGCCGGGCAGGTGCTCCTTGGGCCACCCCCAGACTCAGCCATTTGCCCCCTCTGTCCAGCACCCGTCTCCTTTCCGGCCAGCCTGCGCACGGGCCGGTCGTGTGGCGCCAGGCAGGGAAGCAGAGTGACTCCGGTACGAGGCCACGGGGCTCCTCCTGGGAGGAGGGGAAGAGCCTCTGGGATGCGAGCGGGAAGGGCCCAGCCAGGGCCGTGCCGGAGACAGAGCCCAGCTCCATGCAGGCCCGCAGCGCCGCACTCAAAGCCAGCCCAGACGGGCTCGGTACCTGCTGCGAAGATCTGGGCGGCCACCGCCAGGAAGGCGTCAGTCACCACGCTCTCGGAGTGCAGCGCGATGTTCAGCTGGCGGGCGACGTTTCTGGGATGCGAGCGGGAAGGGCCCAGCCAGGGCCGTGCCGGAGACAGAGCCCAGCTCCATGCAGGCCCGCAGCGCCGCACTCAAAGCCAGCCCAGACGGGCTCGGTACCTGCTGCGAAGATCTGGGCGGCCACCGCCAGGAAGGCGTCAGTCACCACGCTCTCGGAGTGCAGCGCGATGTTCAGCTGGCGGGCGACGTTGCGATAGACGTTGGGGCGGATGTACTCCAGCTCGTCCCCTGGAACCGGCACAGAGTCAGCACGCGGCCAGCACGGACACTGCCTCCCCTCCCCTGCCAGCCCAGCCCCAACCCGCCAGGCGACGCTCCCATCCCCACTCCAGTGCTGGGGCCATGCAGGGGCGGCCGGCAGCAGCACCCCCGGTTCTGGGCCACTTGGCCATTGGCACAGGTGCCTGTGAGCCTGGCCTGGCTGGGGAATAGCCAGGGCAGCCCCCCGCTCCCGGAGCCTCTGCTGCCTCCCGCCCCCGGCCCC